AGGCTGCTGGAGCACAGTGATTGCCATGCTCCAACAGATTTGATTAATTGACTTGGCTCCAATGCACTGGAATTTCAGCACATTGGAGCAGCCTCCACACTCTTGTATAGGTGCCCTGCAGAATCACAGCTTAGCCACTCATTTCCCAGTATGTCTTTATGCATGTAATTATTTCATTCTAAGTGCAGGACTTTGTACTTCTGCTTGTTGAATTTCATTTGATTGATTTTTGAGCCATTTCTCCCATTTATCTGGGTAATTCTGAGTCTCTGCCCTACCCCCCAGAACATCTGCAACTCCACCCAACTGAATATCATGACTTAGGGCCAGCACAACACAAACACTTCACAATTTCTTAGAAAAATGCTTGTTCAGACTCTGCACATATCTGACGTGTTCATCTTTATACACTGTATAGCTGAGTCACTGTTGCCCTTTTGCCTGGATCTGCTATGATCTGACTGAAGTTCTTGGAATTAAAGTGGAATGGATCCCTGATTCCTCTGCCTATATACCAGGCATACTGTATTACCAAATTTGGTGCCAGGAGCCAGAAAAGAATCTCTTTCTCTTCATCATCTCATGAGACATACATATGCTATAGGTTTTATTATTTCCCCCTAAACACTGGATAGGAGTCTCCAAGACTCTATTTGGCTTACCTCCCCAAACAATTTTGAAGTTAAACAATGTTTTCATAATGCGGAGGAACTTCATAACCCTCATGAGTCATGTTTACCCACCCCTCCAGCTCTTCTCTTTCCTAGCTGCATGGCACTACTCTGTGCATGTCCTTTCAAAGCATCTGATGATGTGAGCTTGGGCTCACAAAACTCCCAGCTCTACATCTCTGATTTAGTTAGTCTATAAGGTGCATCTCTGCCCCACCCTCTGTATTCTCACAGTCAACACTTTTCATTGACACTGTGCTGGGCTCCTGCTTGTAGCCAAGTTGAAGGTAATCCCTTTTGGCCTGACCTGACCAGGTGCAAAGCACCCATAGTTTCCACTGAAGTTGCATGGCCCTTGCTATGAATTGCCAAAGATCCTAAGTTCACAAGGAATCTGGTCCATGACTTTAATAGTGATTTTTTTGGAAACCAGGATGTGGGGGAGAGCATATGGAGGAAGCCACAACCTATCTCTTCTCTTACTTACTGTTTTCCATTAAGAATCCACCTCAATTTCCTTCTGAGTCTGAGCCAGGCATGTGGGGAATTCTTGCTTAAATGCAGATTTAACCAGCTGACCACAAGTGGCGCTAGAAATAATATAACATTGACACGCTAATATTTTTTCCTGTTACACTGTAGTTTGCAGCTTATTTTTAACTAGAGTATTTATCTGTCTCAGTGCTCATCCCTGGACCTAAAACAGAGATTCAGCTGCATGAGTGTGAATAATTTTGGTTGTCTGGGTTTAGTACAGTTTTGATTCCTAACCTGAGTGCTTTTACTCTTCAGCTACAGTAAATTTTCCCCTGACAGAAAAGAAAACCTTAAATCCCCAGCACCGTGAAGAGTAATCCTCTTGAGGATACAGATTCCAGTATCTTTGAGATTTCCTATTACAGTACTTGGGTAGAAGAGGCCTGCATTACAGTCATGCTGTAGCAGCAATGATGGTATGTAGCGGGCTGGGAGAAGAATGTACTGTTTGTGCTGGCACAATATAACTCGCTTTACTCAATTTTGTTTTGGTAGCTTCAGTTTTGGGCCAGCCAAAAATATCTAATCAGCCAGTCCAATTGCTGCAGGGTTGTTTCTTTTTAAATCTTGCCATCAAGTTTTAACATGTGATTTATTTCCTAATGAAATAACATCCCCACCCTTAATTTGGCTTTCATGTAGAAAGGGACTTAAATGACCCTTTTGGAAGTGGTGTACTTTTTTTGCAACCACTTGCGTTTGTATCAACTGTGCTGCCTGTTGTGGGTACACATTCAGTTTTTCAAAAGGAAGATGGGTCACGTGTGAATGAGTGTGTGTGGAAAGAGCAAGGTGTGATTAGGGTATGATGCACGGGAATGCTGATTAAGACAAGGATCTCTGCTTCTCAGGCCACGTTATCTGGGCTGGGTCAAGGATGAAGAGATGCCAAGTTTCAGACACTGGATACATGCAGACCGGTAATTGGTACCTACGAGCTCTGATGGATTTTCTGTTCCTTTTCTTGCTTTCTTTTTTGAAAAGAGAAGCTGCTAAGGGAGGTAAACAAATGTGCAACATTCAAAACAGTGTTGTAGTATATTGCAGAGAAAAATTCAAATGAAAATGGGAGAAAAGGATTAAGACAGCAAAAAAAGCATGGTGACAATGAACAAAATAGGAAAGGTGTCAGGGAACTGAAGATTTACAGCCCCTATGCCAATGTGAGAGGAATCAAGATCAGTTGTGATCCTGACTTGTGTCATGAAAAAGAGGCCTGGACCATTACTTCAGTAGGATGGTAACAAAGCTGTTTCTGGCATCCTTTCCCAGCAGAAATTCCTGAATCACTTGCACTACATTTTGGTGAATGTTTTCCATTAGATTTCAGAGGACACTTCAGCTGAAAATGAAAAACCCCATGCTCTTTTCTGAAAAAGCTTTCTTCTTTTGTATACTCTGGGGTGCTTCCTGGTGGGACCTGATGCTTCCCAGAGTATACAAAAGAAGGAAGCTTGGACCTCAACCTGCCTCCTGTTTCTGATGCAGTGTGGTTTAGCAGACTGAGCGCTAAACCGAGCTGCAGAACTGCAGTCTATTTCTGGCTCTCTGCTGACCTGCCAGGTGATGTTAGGCAAGTCATTTTTCCTCCTCAATTTCCTATTTGCAAAATGGGGATGATGATAGATGCTGTCTGTGTAATCCACTCTGGAAACATGTTATAAAGGGTATTGTTACTGTTTAGGTGTAAGCTACTCAGCTGTTGGTAGAGGAGTGGGCAGGTTAATTTCCAGTGAATGGCAGGGGCAGATCCAGGGGTGGTGGGTGCAGTGGTACCATTGCACCCCCTTTTGACTCCTTGTCCACCCAAAGTTTAAAACCAGCTGCCCAGAAGGGGCAGTGACACTTCTATTCAGGCAGCTCAGCACAAGTCAATTGACTTCATTGCTTCTTACAAGCTACTTGATCCCTGCTAATCTCTCTTCATTCCTTAATGTTAATGAGTCTCTCTCATGTTCTCGTTCTTTTTAATGGTTTTGATGTTCCATTAAGCAATTTATCCTTTCTTCTGCAATTCTGATGTCTGGTAGCATTTCTGGTAATATTGATATTTTATTTCACAGCCCTGCAGACTGTTTTTAGCTTTTGGTAAAAACATTAACTCAGGTGTGGTAATATTAACCCAGGTGAGCATGAACTCAAGTGTGAAAATGACCAACAGTGAAGTGTTGGATGCACTATCAAGATCCTCAAGAAGACTAGATTTTGTTTTACAAATCTGAATAAGAGATACACATTTAACTATACTGACTATAGGGCTAATAAAATCATTTGTTTCGACTATTTTTGCCTACCTGTGGTTTTTAAACTTTATATATAATCTAGCAAATTACTGTGCATTTCTATAAAGTCATGTTTGTGGTTTCTTTGACCTTAAAATGAATAATTATAGCACTAGACCCCTCACCCCCATATTAGTTAAGCTTTGTGTGTGGTGTTATATAGGATGATGCACCACTCCACCTACACTCCCCTTTTCAAAGTCCTAGATCCACCCATGGCGAGTTGCATCTCATATACTTGTTTGAATCAGTATGAAGCATTTAGTGGTGGCTTCATAAACCTGTTTGTTGTGGTGATTCTTTGAAAGGACAGCTTGTACCTTTACTTGTGCCCAGAGAGAGAGGTGATCCAGGACTTCTGCAAGCCTCCAGGCAGCTGGACAAGCATGAGTTAATGATGTCATATATACAGATTGCACACATGCACTTGTGCGCGCGTGCACACACACACACACACACACACACTCTGCCATAATTATAATATATGTGTGGGCTATTCCAGGAATGTGCAAAGGCAAATAGACTCACCAGGGTTGCATACCAACATTTAAATTTGAAGGTAATTGTCCTGGTATGACTGAATACTGTGTGTGATGGCAGTTGAAGGACTGGCAAACAGACATGAACTTTAATCATCACTAACTGTAATGAACTTTATCCACCTTCAAAGTGGATTGTAGAGTTCATATTAACTGGCAAATTAGGGTATGTCTACACCAGTGGTTCCCAAACGTTTTAGACTAGAGGCACCCCTCAGAAAATGCCAGATTAGCTTTCATTTGTTTCTTGATTTAGAAAAACAACAGGGAAATTCGTCTGTTGCAAAGAACTCAAAAAAACCACGACAGGTCAGAAATGTTTTTGACACTGTATTTTTGAATCACGTGTAGGTGTCTGCACACCTAGCTGTGCTAATTTTTCATAGCATTCTCCAAAACCCTTAAAAGGATCTCAAAGCACCCTAGAGTGCTATGGCGCTCTGGTTGAGAATTACCATTCTACACTGATAATGAGGGTTAATCTGAAGCAGTCTGAGCCACATAGCTTGTCTTTCTATGTCTGTAGTAAGCTTTATAGCCCATACCACAGCCACCTACATTGTCCTACTTGCACACAAAACACAGGCCTTCTGGAATTGGCCTAATTTCACCTTTTGTGCTGCTTTTGGGCACCTTGTGGCAGAAAACCATACAAATTGAGTTCAGAAGGGTTAGAAGCCAACGATGGACTGTGGGATAGCTGCTGGAAGTCTTGCTGCCCTTAAGGCTTGCAAACTGGAATATGCTCCCGACGTACTAAAGAAAGGGGCAGGCTAGCAGGTAAGAGATTCCAGGCTCAAATGCAAACCCAGAGGCTCAGCAGAATTTCCAGGGTCAGGCAGCACCACCCCGGGGGCCAAGCTAAGGGGTTTACAATGTAGATGACTGGCAGGTAATTGCTGCGGGATGATCTTAAGCGCAACTCTGACTATCAGCATAGCCAGCCTAAATGTGCAATGAGATGTAAGCCGTGTGAAGATCATTTTTATTTTAAAAACAAAATGTAATGAGAACAAAAGGCCTTTTCAGCCAAGTCCTTAGTCATATCCTTTCTCCTTTCACTTCCTTCCCATCACTTGCGCTGAGACCAGACATAGAACAGCAGCAGTCACAAATGCACCTGCAATATAAAGGAGCAATTTATAGACATACTTCTTTAATTTATATCTTCAAACTTATGCACCTGGTAGACAACTGTACGTTAAAGGAGGGCAAGCAAGCTTCTTTGGGTAAATGTGATATCTTTTATTAGACCAACTGAGTAGTTGGAAAAAAGTTCTTTGCAAGCTTTCGGGTGCAATCACCCTCCTCTAGGCTTAGGGAGTCTCTGCTGTTTTGAGATCTCCAAGGACTGAAAGAAGCTAAAAGTGTGACAGGATGTCAGTGAGAATGTAAATAGGTTGAAACTGTGAGAATGTAAATAGAGTATGTTAGAGGAGGGGGCTTACCAAACCCTATCGTAAATGCTCCACTTTCAGTTACAAATGATTGAGTTCCCTAGACTGCCAAGCTGCTGGACAGCCAGCGCATAGTATAAGGAAGCTGTGCCTCAGTCCTCAGTTTACTGTCTTCTGTCCATGCGTTTAGGCATTCAGTTTGCTAAGAGACCTTGCTGCATTCCTGCTTCCAAACTCCTCCCATCCTTGAGATGCATTCATTATGGTATATACTAATATGAATTAACCTCTACTGTCCATAGCTGCTGGGAACAGACTAATAGTAAAGCTGCAGATAGCATTTGCATAGAGTATTAGATTGTCTGGGTTTGAATTTTTGTCTGTTTTTCCCAGGAAATATTCCTGGAAAAGCATACATCAATACTTTACTGCAAAAGATTTGACTAAATCATTTACCACTAAGCACATACGGTATCTCAAATTCTTATCTCCCTAGAGTGCTGTAAGTTTGCCTTGAGGAGGAAATCTAGCAGCCTGGTTTTGCAGGGCACACACTGTACTTTCTCAGCACAGTTTGTGGTAGCACAGGCCTAGCTCCTCTTTGCTTTGGAGCAATCTGTGTTTCCTGTAGGTCAGTCTCATTGCAGGTTCCCCTGCAACAGCATTCACAAAGCTAAAGCCCTGTTTTACTGGTAAAGCCATTCTCCTGCCTTGTATTTAACTTAGCTTATGTTGTTTGTTCTGAAATCTCAGATAAAATTACAATTGACTGGTTTTATGTTGACTCACTACTTTCTACATAAGATTCTGCTTCTGAGAAGCTTGGAGTTTTCCAGAGAAATATAACTGGAACAACATCCTCGCTTGTATGACTATGGTGTCTTATTGAGTGCAGACAGCATGCTGACAGCTGGAGTTGGGAGCATTGACTTCCCAGTGTAAGCTCTGTTTTAAACCGCTATGAAAATACAGCTCAGTGGGAGTATGTGCACATGTAAAACATGGGGAGAACACTTTTTTTTTTTTAAGTGGTGAGGAATGTGGCACAAAGGGAAAGGTATAAGCTGATGAAAAGAACTAGAGATAACATCTATACTGATCCAGCATTAATAACAGCACTGTGAGGCCAGCATGTTGTTCCTGCCTGAAGAGTTAGGCCTGAGACAGTAGCACCTCACTGAGCGCATGCAAAAGATCTTTCAGCTGCTCATAGCATGAGGATTAAGACGTGCTCCTTTTTCCAGAGAACTGTGGAGAGTGCTTCACCTTGCATAACCTAGTACTGACCTTGAGTAACCTGCTCCTCCTATTCTTCACAGAGCAGCAGGATCAAGACCTGCATTTGTGCGCTTATTCCTACACGTCTCTGACTGTCTACCAAAGTGGAAGGAAAAAGAAGTCCTGCAAACAGCATTAAGATAAACATGCAGCTTGCTCATGCAGCTAACAATAGACTTAAGATAATGGATTCAGTCAGTCCTCATAGGAAACTCACAGGCAAGATGAATCCATTATTTAAGCTTATGCTACTAAGACACATTTAAAAACACTAGGAGCAAAGGAGATGGAGATGAGAAATGTTACCTAGTAGATGGGTGCTAGACTAGCCCTTGGTTTCTCAGCTGTTAATGATTCCCACAAATTATCTTTTCATATTCTGTGACTAGAAGCTGTTTGAAGTTAAGGTAGTATTCATACTAGTAATGTTTGCCAATGCAATTTTTAGCAAAAGTTTTATATAAAAAAAACCCTTAGCGTAAACACAGCAAAAACAATCTCTTGCTGTTACAGATCATACCAGTTTACCAAACAAAATAAAACTATATCGGCAAAGAGTGTTTTTGTGGTCTGAGCTGCTTGTATGCTTCAGGGGTATGACCACACAGCCAGAGTTAGTGTGGATAACATCTAGCACTTAGCCTACCTTCCACATTCACAGAGGGCCAAATTCATAGCTGGTATTAACTGGCATAGCTCTATTAAAGTCAATGGAGATAGCCCAATTTATAGCAGCTAAGGATTTCATCCATATGCTTCACATGTACTTGAAGAGGGTGCAGGAGTTGCTTTTTCTAAAGCATGTGATCAGAATCACCGATGCTGTGACTCCCGTGTTTGAGGATCTGGGAGAAAAGTTGACATTTTCATGGATAGAGCCTGAATCTGAAAAAGGTCCTTTATCACTGCTGCTCTTTGACCACAGACATGCACCCCCCGGGTTAACCAGGGGCAGGGCAACCTGCTATGTTACCAAAGAACTGCCAACATCATACAATCCTGAGAAGCAATGCTGAACAAATCAGAGCAGCTTTCTCATGCTTTCAACCTTCAGTTTGGCTGCTTTCTGTGGCTAGGGACAGAAGTTACACATAAACCAATTTAAGTGATCAGAAACTGGTTTAAACATGTCACAGAACAGAAGCTCACTGCATATAAACCAGTTTCAAAATGATGGAAACTAGTTTAAGATAAACATGGTTGAACGTAGTATCAGGCTTAACTGATTTGGGTCAAACTGGTTTATGAAACTTCTGTCCCAGGCCCCTTCCTGGCTCAAGTTAAATCAGTCCCCCAGCATCCCAGGATGCTTTCCAGCCCTGTGCTGGGCTGTGCTGCCTGTTCCAGAGGACGGGACTGGCCCCACCCCTCTACTCCCTAGCTGGAGCAGTGAGGACTGGCTGACAAAGGGGTGGGAGGGGGGAAAGCCCAGCTGGGGATGCAGCCCAGTCTGCAGGTGGGAGACTGCCCCCAGCAAACCCTGGCTGGGGCCTGGGGCCAGGCAAGGGGGTGGGGGTTAAACACCTACTCCTCTACTCAAACTTACTGCCGGCTGCAACTGTATACTACAAATCCCAGAGGCACCTGGAAGCAGGAAGAGGAAGTGATGATGACCAACCCTGCAGAGTCCTATTGCTGTAATTCTGGATTGCAAATCCCAGAGACCTCGGGAGGAGCAGGAAGAGGAAGTGAACACACAGCCAGAGAGCTGTGCCCTGTTGTCCTCCAGCTTCTGGCCTGAGCTGCTACAGGCATATGGCTGTATTTTCTGAATCAAAGGTAAATGTCTGATCATTTCTACATCAATTTAATCTGTATATCTAAAATTAACCTGCAATGACTGAATTGATTCAGCCTCTCCCCTACCCTGGGGGTCTTCAAGAGGAGGTATCAGCTATCAGCCTTGTGACAGAAGTAATCCAGGCCAGGATCAAGCCCACCGATTACTACCCCATGGTCCTAGTCCATGTGGGTACTAATGATGCGGCCAGGAGAACCCCCGATCACCTGATGGTGGACTACAGTGCTCTGGGCG